CATAAAGTCTTATTTTACCTAAGTTTTTAAAAATTATTATTTTGAAACAATAAACAACTTACAGGGGCTCCTGGATGGCTCAGTTGGTTAAGCATTTGACTCTTGATTTCTGCTCAGCCCATGATCTCAGGGTGCATGAGATGGAGCCTCGAGTTGCATGGCTTTGCAGTCATAGCATCGAGCCTGCTTGGGATTCTCTCCCTCTCCGCCCCTCCCCTGCTCAAGCTCTCTCTATTTCAAAATAGATAAATAAACTTGGAGCTTCTGGGTGGTTCAGTCGGTTTAGCATCTGACTTTGGCTCATGTCGTGATATCACGGTTGGTGAGTTCGAGCCCTGTATGGGGCTCTGTGCTGACAGTTCAGAGCCTAGAACCTCTGAGCCAGGATAAAGCCAGGATAGGGGGCAGGGAGGGGGACAGACAGGGTGCTCCAATTCTGTGTCTCCCTCTCTCTCTGCCCCTTCCCCACTAACCCTGTCTCTCTCTGTCTCTCAAAAATAAAACATTAAAAAAATAAATAAATAAATAAACTTTAAAAAATAAACAATTTATAATAAGGTTGACACTATATAAGGTCATAGCCAATCAATTTTTATTTTGTTTGATATTCCCATTAATTTAAGAGGTTGTTTTTTTTTTAAAGTTCACTTATTTATTTTTGAGGGTGATTGAGAGCACAAGTGGGAGAGGAGCAGAGAGAGAGAGAGACAGAGAGACAGAGAGATGGAATCTGGAGCAGGCTCCAGGCTCTGAGCTGTCAGCACAGAGCTCAACGCAGGGCTCAAACCCACTAACCATGAGTTCATGACCTGAGCTGAAATCAGATGCTCAACTGACTGAGCCAGCCAGGTGCCCCTATATAAGGGGTGTTTTGATGCACTTTGGTAGATCTCATCAAATGAAGAGAATGGAATTCAGGTGTTCTATGGCCTTTTTCATTTAACACTGGTTTAAGATCTGCAGTCATTGGTATACAGAAATAGAGACCTTCGCTTTCAGTCTCCTACAGCAGAGTAGTAAATAATTTTCAACTAATAATAAGTCACCAGAAGATCTGGGAAGTCCCTTTTTCTCCTGAGCTTCCTGATCTTTCTGATGCAATAGTAAGGGTTCAGTGGCTCTACAATAGCCATTCTTCTCATTAAAACAAGAAAGATAGTGACTTGCAGCATGTGTTAACTATTGTTACTGCTTACCAAATGCTTCTGCATCTTCCAGCCACATGATAAAATTGTACTTGGGGGACCTCTGTAGTTGAGTGGGGTCATGTTCTGGTGAATGAACTGTATCACTTCCAAGTTTAGTATTTAACTGCTCGTGTGAGACCCTTCAGAGGTAGGGTCTCATTTACCATCATATCAGGTAGTGGCTGACCTTCAGCTGTGTCCAGGAGCGCAGGTGATGGCACTGCTGAGCAGAGCCCCCACATCTCTCTTATTGGACATGCAGTGTGAACAAAACATGTACCTTTTGTTTGTTTGTTTCAATCCACTGAAATTTGGAAATTATTTGTTACTGCATAATCTATATTATCCTGACTGATACACTACACCATCCAGAAAAAAGCCTTTTGAGGATGGGAGTAATCACAGCAGAACTGAAAGATAAAACCTGTGGTTCCAGAAATCAGAGAAGAGGTGTAGGTAAGTTCCCTCTGATTTGACTCATGCACTTAACCCTTTTAATATCGACACATTCTGTTTATTAAACTTTTTATTGAGCAGTTTCCTATAACATATGTATCTACGAAAAACCTGCCAGAGGTTCCTATTCCTCAGAGGCTTCAGACCGTATCAAATTTACTTCCCATCCCAGCATTTAGATTCTAAACACAATTAGCACCACCGTGTGGTATTTGGAATAAATGACATTTATTATAGGACTGTAAATGCAAGGTCACTAATACCATTTACCCACTGAGAAGGGGATTATACATAATAAAAGAAACTACATCCAGCTTGCTAGGGCATCAAGTCAAAAGGAGGAGGGAGAATGTTCCTGTCATGTGAGCCTGGACACTCAGTAGTAGTGAGGCTTGCTCATTTATTTGTTCATTCAACTAATATTTACTGAGGTCTGCCATGTACCAGATATTGTTCTGGGCCTGGGAAATATAGCAGTGAACAAGATAGACAAAGTCTTTGCCTTAGTTGGAAAGACAGACAATGGAATAAATCAACAAAGTAATATATACTACAATGGCAGATATGAGAAGTCCTATAAACCAAAATAAATCTGAGTCAAGGCATAGAGAGTGAAGGGGAAGGAATTATTTTAAATAAGGTTGACAGAAATAAAAGGAAACAGTCTACATTTAGATGCCTCAAAGTTACTTTAGATAAATGATCCAAAATCACAAATATATATAAATATGAGCATTCTCTTGCAGACATTAAATGTTTCAAGATGCCCAAAGCTTGGTTTCTAAACATTATCCTGTGTTGGTCCACTCAGTTTGCTGTAATAAAAATACCATAGACTGGGTGGCTTAGACAACAAATATTTATTTCTCATAGTTCTGGAGAGTGGGAGGTCCAAGATCAAGGCGACAGCAGATTCAGCGTTGGTGAGAACTTCCTTCCTGTTGGATGTAAATGGCCATCTTCTCACTGTGTCCTCGGCAAAAGGAGGTAGGGACCTTTCTGGAGTCTCTTTTTTGAGTGCATTAATCCACTCATGAGGACTCTTCCCTCATGACTGAATCCTTTCCAAAGGCTTTATCACCTCATAACATGATATTGGGGGTTAGGATTTCAACATATGAATTTGAATTTTATTTCAACATATGAATATTAATTTGAACATATGAATTCAAGCCTATAGCAATCACTCAAAAGAAATCATGATTCTTTGAAGAAACAATGGATTTTTCAAGTCTGAGGCAGGAAATGGATATGAAGATCCTGGGACATATTGTTATGCCAAAAAAAAATGTAGAAGCATTCAAAAACTAAAATCAGGGTCATGATAGTCTTTAACCTGTCATGGTAAACAAATTATAAGGGCTTGCCAAACTGGGAGCAATTTAAGCACCACGAGAATAGTAACTATAATTGATATTACAGTGGATGATTAAGAATCATGAGTTTGTGGTGATTTATTATTTTTATTGAAGGGAAAGGGCTCTGTTTTATAGAGTGTCAATGGAAGGTTTTATAGAATTAGAGAATCATTATTTTGCAAACTGTAATCGAATTCATGCAAGGATTATCTTGTATATTAAATCCCTGTTGCCAATGTAACAAATTACTACAATCTTAGCTTAAAACAACACAGATTTATTATTTTATAGTTCTGGAGGTCAGAAGTCTAAAATGGATCAGCATGGCTATTTTCTCTCTGTAGACTCCAGGGGAAATCTGTTTCTTGCCTTTTCTAGTTTATAGATGCTGCCTACCTTCGTTTGCTCTCATGGCTCCACATCACTCCCACCTCTGCTTCCATTATTTTATCTTCTTCTCTCAGGCTCTGACCTATCTGCTTCCCTTTTTATAAGGACCTCGGTAATAGCATCACCCTCACCCAGATAATTCAGGATATTCTCTCCATCACAAGATCACTAATTATGTTTGCAAATTCCCATTTTACCATGTAAGATAACATATTCACAGGTTCCAGGCATTAGGATATAAACATTTCTGGAGACTATTATATAGCCTACCACTATACACACACACACACACACACACACGCACACGCACACACACACGTATGTTAATGAAGTACACAGATCACTTGTAAGATATTCTTGCCAAAAATGTTTAACTTGAATCTAATGAAGCCTGTAGCTCTAACTTCCAGCCAGCTTACAGAAATGACACCATAATAAAATAATCACACACATTCTACCTATGGGATATGCTATATGTCTACTTCTCTAGACTCCTCAAAATTACAATGTCATAAAGATGAATGGAAGATATTCTAAAATTTTTAAAAGAACTTTAGAAACATAATAAATAAATGCAACATAGAAACCTTGATTGGATCTTGGTTCAAAGGCATTTTAAAGACGATTGGTGGAACTTTAAACTTGGCTTAAATATTAGATAATATTGTGGAATTATTGCTAATATTCTTATCTTTATGTAGGATAATGTTCTTATTTTTTGGAAATACATGTTGAAATATTTAGGAGTGAAATATACACTGCCTGAAACTTACTTTCAAATGATTTAGATAAAAACTGTATATGTAGAGAGGTGGGAGAAGAGCAAACAATATTGCTAAATGTTAGGGGAGAGTATATAGTCGTAGACTGTAGCTGTGACAGTTAATTTTATGAGTCAATTCGGCTAGGTCATGATACTCAGATATTTGGCCAAACAGTATTCTAGATGTTTCTATGAAGGTATTTTTAGATGAGATTAACATTTAAATCAATAGATTTGAGTAAAACAGATTTTCTTCCGTACCATTGGTGGGCCTCATTTAATCAGTTGAAGGTTTTCATAGAAGAAGACTGATACCCCTCCCCTGCAAGAATGAATTCTGTCAGCAGACCACTTTCTGTCTTGAACTGCAGCGTCAACTCTTCCCTAGGTCTCCTGTTTGCTGCTTATCTTGCAGAACTTGCCAGTTTATCTTACTTATCTCACTTATCTTGCCAGTCTCCACAATCACATAAGCCAATCCCTTAAATTCTCTCCCTCCATCTCTCCCTCTCTTTCTCTAGTACATGTATAATATGATATATTTTATTATATATCATATATATAGCATTATATAATATATATCACACACCTAATAGGATATATATTATGTTATATCCTATTATATATATGTAGTAAAACCTTGGTTTGCAAGCATAATTCATTTCAGAAACATGCTTGTAATCACAAGCACTTACATATCAAAGTGAATTTCTCATAAGAAATGGAAACTAAGATGATTCATTCCACAACCCAAAAATAGTCACACAAAAATTATTACAATATTGTAATATAATACAAAATAATAAAAATACAAGATATAAAGAAAACAAATTAACCTGCACTTACCTCTGAAAACCTTCATGGCTGGGACCCGGGGGCAAGATGGCGGAGAAGTAAGGAGCTCCGTACTTGCACTCGCGCCCATACATCACACAGAAAAGATCTGAAGCCATTGGAAACCTTACAAAACCTGAGA